ACCCACGTTTTATTCACAATACATAACAAAGTGATCACATGTTAAAAACAAAGGGGTGTCCAGACCTGGAGTTCAGCTCCCGGACTCTTGAGCTGCTCTGTTGTCATGGATACAGCGGTTCAGCATCATCTTGCTGAAATATGCAAGACCATCCCTGAATAATGCGTCATCTGAATGGGAGCAGATGTTCTAAAGCAATTCTGCACTGATGAAGCCTTTCCAGATGTGTAAAGTGTCCATGCCAGAGGTGTTAATGCACCCTTATACCATCAGAGAGGCATGATATTATGAGCTGCAGATGAGATAATCAAAGTATTCACAATTTTCCATTGAGGATCATTATTCTGAACTTGTTCCACTGTTTCAGACACAGCAGCCACAGCCTGCTGAACCTCTGCTCATCTTAGAGATTCAGCCTGTCAGTTCTCTTACTGACTGGTTGCCAGTTAACTTCATTAGCTGTAAATTGCTCCTCCAGATGTTTCTTATTGTGTGAATGTTTATGAAGCATTCCCTCTGCTGCCATCCAGTTTTCTTCTGTACGTCTTTCTGCGTCTCTCGTTCCACAGTTTTTGTTCTGTTTCAACAAACCAAAGTGTTCGGTTCGTTCAGGACAATCCTGCTGTGACTTTTGGTGCAACTTTAGCTTTTTTAAATATTTAGCCTTTTCTGCCATTTTTGTCTCATAGAAAATGAGTTGAGCTCATTTTCAATCCTTCAAATCTTTAGCTGTGTTTACAACCTTTTACTGCTCCTTTCACATTTTGTTCTGCTTCAGCTTCTTTCAGCAAATTTAACTTTTTTTTTCCAGCTACCTTCAGCTGTTGTTCAGCTGTTTTGTGATCCTTTTAGATTGTTTCTGCTACCTACAACATTGCTATGCTTCTTCTAACTTCTTTCTGCAAATTTCAGCTTGTTATCCTCCTTTCAGCTTATGTCTGCAAGTTTCTGCTTTTTTTTTTACTATTTCAGCTACTATTTAGCTGTTATGCTAATTTGAGCCTTTTCGGCTAATTCCACTTTTTTGCACTCATTTAAACTTTTTTCAGCTTAATTAAGCAAAAATGCGCTCTCTCTACTTCTTATAATTTCAGCTTCTTTCTGCCTTTTTAGCTCCTTTTCAACTGATTTGTGCCAATTTCAGCTTTTTTCAGATCGTTTCCACTTTTTTTTGCACTCTTCTGCTTTTTTCAGCAAACGTGTTCTTCGTGCTTTCTTCTATTAATGTACGCTTGTTCTACTTTTCAGCTCATTTTGTTTAGCATTGTATTTTATGTTTCAGCTGTTCAGATAAATACGTGTTTGTTGTGGTTATTTCTGCTACTTTCAGCCTAATTAACTTATTTCTGCAAAGTTTAGCTTGTTATGCTCCTTTCAGTGTTTTTCTGCTGATTTCAGATTATTCTTTTTTGCTATTTCAGCTGCTATTTAGCTCTTTTTGTGCTAAAATAAGCCTTTTCAGCTAATTCCACATTTCTTTTAGCTCATTTCAGCTTATTCTGCTTCCTTCTGGTAGTTTAAGCTTCTTTCTGCCCATTCAGCTAGTTTTCAGCTTTTTTTAGCCAGTTTCCTCATGTTTGTGCTCATTTCTGTTTATTTAACCCTACGTCAGCAAATAAGTGTTCTTTCTGCTTTCTTCTAATTTAGACTTTTTATTCCATTTCAGCTAAATTTCAGCATGTTTTTTAGCTAAGTTCAGCTGTTTCTCAGCAAGACCTTCTGCAATAAACTTTCACATAGTATTTTCACAGGAAATGCATTTACTCCAGTTCGTATTACTCATTAAAACTTTTTGTTTCTCCGTTTCAAGTCATTTTTAGATGAGTTGCTGTCATCCGATTCAAAACATCCTTTTTTCCACAAAAGTTATAAAATGTGTTTGTTTAGTCGTTTCGTTCGTTTACCATATGTGACTGAAATATGTGTTTTTATCTTTTTCACAACAGCCTAACTTTGTTCAGAGACGGGGTTGCCTTGCGTCCTCACGGTGGCGCTTGTCAGCGTTCCTGTCGTCGGCGGCCGCCTGGAGACGACGGGGAAGGGTTCCAAAACGTTGCCCACTCTCTCTCTTTATCTGGGCGCAGCAAAAGTCGGCGTAGGCCGCGTGTTCCGTCCAGAGCGAATCGTTTGTGCGGATGTGTCGATGTGCACGGGAGCGTCTGTGGAGGTTTTTGCGTTTTATTGCGCTTTTGGCAAGAGACGTGCTGCTGTGCTCACAGATGTTTCTTTCAGGGACCGGTTTGAGTAGAGAGCAGAACCGGAGCCAAGCGAGTGACGCCAAGTGTGAGCGGCACCTCGCTGTCCTTTAAATTGGACTCGGCTCGTCCCCCTCAGAGCTTTCAGTGAACGATTACGAGCTCACGAGCATTTTTAAGCCAACCTACTCCCCCGTTTAGACTTTACATGAACCACGGAACAAAACGGTGGTAATTTTACCTCAACGAGGATTTCTCTTCTGATATTCTGTCTTTAAATGAACACAAACCAATAAATATAAATACCAAATGAAGCTGAAACTCTTCAAATGATCTAAAATGGGCTACAAGCTGGAAGTTGGCTGCAGCCAATCGACATTAACAACAACGTCTTTAACTCGGTCCGTTTGAACAACATTGAGCTGATGCTTGGTGTGGTGGTAGCAAGAAGTCCGTACCCTCCATTCGCCTGGATCCGTCACTCTTTGTCGCTTCAGACAAGAAGAAACGCCTCTGTTGTTCTACAGTGTCCCACTTGTATGTCTTGCACCAAAAACATTTAGGTTTACCTACGTTCCCCGTTAGTTCCAGTCCAGAAAAACACTCATCGTGTAAAATACAAACATCCACTCTTTAAATCCCTCAGCAGTGCGGGATATCAGCGCACTGCTTGTGGTATTTATTTATTTATTTATTTATCAAGGCAGGCTTTAGTCCATCAGTCTTCTGGTCGTAAATGTCTTTTTTTGATTAGCAAAGTGGCAGAAATCCCATCAGCCACATGCTCTACGTCTACACAGCCTCGGTCCAAAAAGCAACGTTTGAGTCGAAGAATTCCCGTCAGATAAACAGGTTGAACTCTGTTCTCACATTTCAGCTCTTCCACGAGAACTGGACGAGTTTTATCTGTTCAGCAGGATTTTAGCATTTATTCCCAGGCGGAGTCTGGTCCTGAACTGATCCAGGCTCCTAAACAAATGAAACCCAGCCGTGCTCTCTGTGTCGTGTTGGGTCTTTAACAGCAATAAACCAGAGTTCCTTGTTATTGTCTGCCCATCAAAAACCAGTGTTCTGGTATATTCTCTGTCCGTTGGTCTGTAAACGTTCTATTGTCCTGTCTAGAACTTATGATATGCAACTTGACACAACTTTGTCCCATCACTAGACGGGGTGTTGCACAATATTTTCATCACACAAGCTCTAAGGTCAAGGTCACAAATCAAGGTCAAAGATTACACAAAGTATTTTATTGTCTAGGCTGATGCTGTATAATAGTTAAGGGCGTATAATAGTTTGTCGAGGGGCTTATAATAGTTTGTTGAGGGGCGTGTAATAGTTTGCAGAGGGGCGTGTAATAGTTTGTCGAGGGGCGTGTAATAGTTTGTCGAGGGGCGTATAATAGTTTGTTGAGGGGCGTGTAATAGTTTGCAGAGGGGCGTGTAATAGTTTGTCGAGGGGCGTATAATAGTTTGTCGAGGGGCGTGTAATAGTTTGTTGAGGGGCGTATAATAGTTTGTTGAGGGGTGTATAATAGTTTGTCTTGGTCATATAATTTCTTGAGGGGTGTATAATAGTTTGTCAAAAGATGCATAAATTGTAGAGGGGCGTATAATATGTTGTCGATGGGCGTGTAATATTTTGTCGAAGGACATATAAATTGTAGAGGGACGCACAATAGTTGTTGAGGGGCGTAAATTAGTTTGTAGAGGGGTGTATAATAGTTTGTCAAAATATGTATAAATTGTAGAGGGGCAAATAATTTGTCGATGGGCGTATAATAGTTTTTCAAATGACGTATAAATTGTAGAGGGGCGTATAATAGTTTGTCAAGGGGCATACAATTTGTCAAGGGGTGTATAATTTGTTGAGGGGTGTATAATAGTTTGTCAAAAGATGTATAAATTGTAGAGAGGCGTATAATAGTTGTCGAGGGTCGTAAAATAGTTTGTCGAGGGGCGAATAATATAAAAAAAAAAAAAAATCTGGTCCAACTCTGTTGATCTACTTTTCAAAGATGTCTTCCAGTAGAATAAATCCTGAACACCGAAGTGGTTGCCATGTTCGCACGGTAACGAGGTGGACAATTAAACAATGTGCGCAGCCAAGAGCACAGTTTTGCACGTCGTGCACACGAAACCAAGCTGTGATTTCCATGAGCCGGCTTGCTGCTCAGTCGGCCGCAAACGCTCACATTTCAGTGATTCTGCCGCGGGAATTTTGCACATTTTCTTGCAACATTGAGCCGAGTTTGAGTCGTTAAATGGTCTCCAACAGCTCAGCCCAGTGAGATACGAACTGAATAACGAACCTGTGAAAGAAATGAACATTTACTTTGTTTTACCCAGATTTTATGAAAACTTAAGCATTATCAGAAAACACATGACATATTGAATAGTCCTTTTTTTTTTTCTGGACCCAAACATCCAGAGAGTCCATTCCCAGAAGTCGAGTGTTGTCCCTCCCATTGAGTATCTGTGGGAGTTTGACTGAGTCATTAAGTAGCCAGGCTACGGCCTTTCACAAGGCCCTCACTGTCCTGGAGGCCACAGACTGGGGATAACTTAATTTGTCTTCTCTGTCCGGCTCGCTCTGCCCTTCCAACCCTTTATTCTCGTCTGTGCAAAGGCAGAACGGCGTAAAAGGATCCATTCTGGTCCGTCTTGGTGGCTGAACTGTTCACACAAGTTCCAGAAAGAAAAGCACGACATAAGGAAACTCGTTGCCTTCATTTTTAAATCAGTAATCAAGTCACACCTCCAACTGTATGTCTGCTGTAAGCTCTGAACTGCTCTCTTGTTTCACCAGGCGGAGTTCTCGGAGATCAACCTGGCCTCCTACGTGGTCTCGGGGTGTATGGTGGACATGCAGGTCAACAAAGGCGGCACCAAAGTCGTCAGGTGAGCTCCTCAGAGAACAACGCCGGCGCACCCTCAGTGGAGCTGAGGGTTTGAATAGCAGATGTTTGCGGTTATCCAGATGAGTGTTTTCTGGACCGGAGTTGAACAGAGGATGAGGTAAACCTAAATGTTTTTAGGTGCAGGATATTCAAGTGTGTAGGAGTTACTGTGGAGAACGGAGGTGATTTTTCTTTTCTGACGCAGTGTAAAGATCCTGGTGAGTGGGGGGAGCAAATTTATCCACCACCAGTGCAGTGGAGGAGCCAGGGGGTGGCCAGTGGTGGCCTTGGCCACCATAGATTAATCATAGGCCACCCCAACCATTTGAGGAAACTAAACTTTTAAGCAATATGAAAACTAGAAAACACTTGTTTCTTCAAATGATAGTAGTGGCCAGTTTACATACTCATATTGTGGTGGCCATCTTGGATTTGAATTGGCAACCCCATTTTTGAAACGAACCTTTCTTACACCTAAATGTAGCCACACACTCAAAGAAAACCATCAACTCACTTATTTTTCAAGTTATTGCGCTAACAACGTTAATGATGGCCGTACAGATGGTAGGTAGCTTTTTCCAATTTGGCCTTTTCGCTCTACGATGGAGGACAAAAGAAGCAGATCATGAGAGTTAAAGTCTTTCACGTGAATTTGTAAATCAAAGCAGCCGACACCTCCTACACTAATAATATTAAAAAAACACTGTGACATGTTTGAGACTGAAGTTGTTTAAAGTCGGCACTTTGGTCTCGGACTGGCTGTTCGCTCGTCGAGCTGCTGAGATTTAAACTCCTAACTGAGCTATCTGCAACAGGTAAGATATTGTTTATAAACTTTCCATTGCAACAGCTCTGAGCTACTAATACCCCCCCCCCCCCCCCCCCACGCACACAAACACCCCCACACTCATTTGAGCCTTTTTGAGAAATAATTTGTTCACGGTGGGTTTTGGCCTGGAAGCCACACGTTTACCGGAACGGACCCGACCCCCGTCCTGAGAGCCAGACGCACTAAAGCAGCCGACTCGTCAACCTGCTGCCGGCGTTCTTGTGTGGGTTGAACATTTTCGGCGATATGGCAGTAATTACAGGGAGGTTAAATTGGAGGCAGATGGAGCGAGCGCCGCCTCGCTCAGCGTTCAGCGCCGGGTCGTTCGGCTCATCGTCTTCGACTTGGAACTCGTCTGCAAAGAGAACTAGAGAAATTACAATTCCTGCAAAAATGCAGTGTGAATGCTTATTGTAGAAGAACTTCAGCTGAAAAACAGCTGAAATTAGCTAAAGAAAAAGGTGCTGAAATAAATGGAACAAGCCTAATTTAGCAGAAGAAAGAAGAAAGAACACACATTTGCAGAATTCGGTTTAAATGAAGAGAAATGAGCACAAACATTTGGAAATTGGCAAAAAAAAAAAAAAAAGCTGAAATGAGAAAAAAAAAAACTATCTGAAAAGGCAGAAAGAGGCTTAAACTACCAGAAGGAAGTGGAAAGAGATTAAATTAGTGAAAAAAATATGGAATTACCTGAAAATGCTAAAACGGCATCATAAGAGATAAATACTAGCTGAAACAAAACAAAGCTTTAGAACCTGCAGGAGGAAGTCCTTGGAACCTGCAGAAGGAAGTCTTTGGAACCTGCAGGAGGAAGTCTTTGGAACCTGCAGGA